TTCTGAGACCCTCAAGTTTCATTATAAGAACTAATCTACTTGATAGCCACTGTTCCCCCCCGCCCCCCGAAAAAATTTGCAGTGGTAATTGTCTAAGGCTGAGGAGCTGCAAAATCAAATGTCCCAAAAGTTGGAAGGCACTTTTTTAAACAAAACCCCCAGGGTTTTTGATTTTAAGTTTTATACTTTGTGACAAATATCAAAGGGAGTGACTTATATATAAGTAGGAGCATTTTTGTAAAATATGACTGAAATCTTAGTTGGTTCAACCAGTTGCCCAACTCAGCTGGTGAGAAAGGACTGCCTGGATTAAACAAACAAACAAATCTAAAATTTAAAGGCCCCTTAGGGCGTATAATAATAAAATTCATGAGGAGGAACCATATTTGGCATTGGTAGCATCCTTGATGTTCAGGCAAATGTGATGCAAACTGTTAATTATGTTAATGAAAACATGTAAATTAGATGCTATTTTCTGGTTTATGACACATTTCAGGCCTAAACAAGCTGGCCACCTTTGAGACATGATTTGTACTTTCTCCAGTTAATAGTAGCAGTATAAAATGGGGAGTGGGGGTGGGGGAAGGTTGTTGATCCAGATTTCAGTGTCTTGATCTTAATGGTTCAGCCTTTTTGTTTTCATCTTCCTCTAAATATGCCCTTATCGGCCTGTGGCTATTACTGAGACTGGCTGTTTATGCCCTTTGGCTGAGTCAGGTAACATCTCAGGAGTGGCGCAGCATAGCATCCTTGCCTCCCTGCCTGCTAAAGCGTTGGTTATCTCGAGCCCAGGATGACATAATGGCACAATGTCAAGTTACACGGAAAGGTTCGTTAGCATAAGAATCTTAAAATCCATCTGTCATGGTTGTAACATGTCGCCTACTTTAGAGTACGCTTTCTATTTTATTTTCAGACAGCCTTGATAGCTTTTTGTTAAGGCTCTGCACTACAATCTTCCTCATCTTCTAACTGGAACAGGCTATCTTATGCCTTTTCTACATATAAGAAGAGCTCTAGACAGCCTCACTTTCATCTACATGAAGACTGTGTTCAGACTTTAATAGTGCAATCCTATGCATGCCTCAGCTGTAATTGCTATTGTGTTTGACAGTGTTTACTCCCAAATAAATGGGCAAAGATTGCAACCCATCACAAAAGAAATGCTAGAACATCAAGATAATTCTTGTAATCGGTTGGAAGTTCCTCCTAAATGCTTTTATTGCTAAAAGCTCGACCCATTTATTACTAATGCTTTGCTTGTAACAACATAATAAAAGTCTTGTACAGATATGGAATTTGATTACTCTCAGTTTATCTGTAAAAGAAACCCAATATGATTCTCAACCAAGCTAAAAAGATGACTGTAATGCACTGGGAGATAACCAGCTACTTACATTTTTATAGGTTTTTTTTAATTGCAAGCAATATAAAACAGCCTAACGATTTAAACACTGAATAAATGATATGAATCGAAAAACTAGAATACTAGCATAAAGCCAACGCAAAATACTTATTCTCAATGTAAACCACAAACTGTTTAGGCAAAATATTGATTTTAACTTTTAAGATACAGTTGCATATATATCTGTTTCTGGATGTTTGGGGTCCTGATTTCTCAAATCTTACCCAGAGAAATATTTTCCACAGGCCCAGTGGGAGGTGTGTGTGTGCATATGTGATTGTTTCTGTCTATCACTGTTCCTTCATCTTGCTAGTCTTCCACACATATGGGCCTATGTCTGGGGTAGTGACTGGGTTCACATCTGTCCAAGCCCTCACAAACCTTCAGGATGGCACTTATTTGCCCATGCTATAGCACACATGTTGTACCAATCCCTGCCCCCCAAAAACAAAAGGTATAGAGGCCTAATGTGTCTAAAAAACCGAAGAAACATCTCAAAACTGCACTGCTCTGGGAATCCTGGAGAAAAACAGAAAGTCCTGACCACACCTACATTCCAATTACACTCTTCCCAAAGATTGCTAATTTTGTAGCAGAAAATATAAACATAGTACAGAAAACATAGTCCTGTCATTCTGGAATAGCCTCCCCCCAAGATTAGAATGGCTCCTCCCTACTATCCTTTAGGGAAATTGTGAAGATTATTTTTTCAAAGAGCCTTTGGAATTGAGGGTACATCATGGCTGGTGGTAATTGCTAGATTGTTTGTATCAATATGTTTTTCTTTGTGAAATGTTTATCTATGGTTTATGTTTATGGTCTATTTTGTGTGTGGAGTTTTATGGTTGAACTGCCTAAAATTGCTAGATGAGGCAGCATGCCATTAAACATAAATAATACCCATAAAGCCACCTTCAAACTTGCATCTGTATTGTAGAGACACGGATGGACCCAGTGCAACAGACACAGCAGGCCAGGAGACAGAGATTGACACAGAAGGCAGGGAGCTGATCCAGAATCTTTGGGCCACCAAATGCTGTCTACCCCCCACCACGCTGATTAACTATTAGGCAAGCTGTGCTGTTGATGTGGTTGTACAACTGGAACGTATTGCTTCCCTTGGGCGTCATGGATTACAGTGTGTAAGTGTTGGGCTTTCTCTTTGCATGCTGCCCAGAGTCATTCTTGTGAAATGGCGGCCAAATAAATGCTTTAAATAAACCTAACTTACCTCACCAGAGGACAAAAATGGGAAGCCCTTTAATTCCAAGAAGAAAAGCAAAATATAAATCTCCTACAATAAAATCCAAATGAGATATTGCGGCAGTGGTGGTGGGAAACCCTAATTGTTTTTTATTTACACCGTGGAATAAACCTCCCCAACATGCATCCGTGGCATGCAGTGCTTGTAGCATTGCTATCTGCCCATATTTATTATTTGAATAATTTATGTACCATCCACTCCTTTAACGGTTCTGGGCAGTTTACATGGTGCAGGACAATAATACTTAACATTAACAGCCATTTCCAGGCAAGAGATGGTAGCTAGGTGACCCCAGCTGATCTTAAAAGGAGTATTAAATATGTTTGCTGCCTTGAGTTATATATATATATAAAAGGTGGGACAAAAATCTAACAATAGTCATAATACTTACTAAGCCATAAACTAGAAAAAGATATTTCAGTGCTTCTTTGTAACAGGAGAAATGCTAGTACTAATTTCTACTAGGCACTTATGTAAAGAAGCTGGATGCCATATGCCCCCACCCCAAACTCTAGATATGTGGGGTGAGGTCCTTCAAACTTACAGGAAAAGCATTCTGCCCTTTTTCTTCTCCCGGGTTGAGAATATTGGGAGAATACTGGACCCGAACCTGTTCAATACAGCCATTTTAAAAATAGTGTGGATTGATTTATTGAGTGCTCCAAATTCATGTGCAGGTTACACCCTAGCCTTAAAATGAATTAATGGATAAATAATAAGCATTTACAATATCAAGCCCAATTCAATGCTACCTGTATAAATTATGCAAATCATACAAACATGGTTTTTGTTGTTGTTTCATTATTTAATCCAATAGCCCCAGAAATGAGTGTGTAAAAAGTCTTCTCTGTAACTACTTAACATGGTGAAAAGATGGAAACAATTTCTGTGAATATTTTGGGTATCATTTTTTTAATTTACAAAACTCATTTTGAAACACTCTTAAAACAAAAATAGACCTACTGTATCTGGGCAACTTTTTTACATATGTTAGGCCTGTTTGCCTGTTTTTGTTTTAGTAAGTATTCCTAAATAAAAACCTTAGTTAGAAATGTAAAAATATATAGTTCACATCTGAAAATGAAGGCTGGATATGTCTGAACCTTCCTGCCAAAATGGAAAAATGTGGTGTTCTATATTGCAATTTTCAACAACACATATTTATTCAGTAAACAATATGATGTATTCTGTAAGGATTACAGCCTTATGAGCATTCAAAATATTTTACATGTATTATTTTGAAATAAGTATTCTGCAAGGTAGGTCACTGAATGAGGGGGAACAGAAACAGAAAGTAATTTGTCCAAGTACTGAGTTTGTGGGAGAGGTGAAATTCTGGGTTGATAATTATCGCTTGGTCTGAAACATTGCAGCAAGTTCAGAATGGAATCAGGCCTTTTGAAAACATTATTTCTGCATACACTGAGGTCCCAGAGAAACATATCAACCCCACAGCAAGGAACACTGCAAGTGATGTGCCTGCACGGAGCATCTGGGCTTTGTTGTTCATTTCAATAAAATATCTGGATATCTATTCATTCACACAACTCACTCACAACCACCTCAGTTTAACAATGCAAAAACTCATCTAAACGATGTGGAAAAAATGTTTTACCTCTTGTGCCCATCTTGGCCTTTCTAGATGCAACCAAAGCAAGAATTGTGTTATTTGTAATCACGTTGCTTATAGATCAGCCCTAACTCAGAAAAATTAAGAGTTCTGAATTTTTCTCAACGAACACATTTTGGGGGGTAATTTTTAATTCTATTAAGGCAGAAATGAAGAAAAATGTGTTCTGTAACTCTTTTCTCATTGGTAGTAAAACTTCAGCTAAATCAAAAGCAATAGGGAAGTCTCCCTGAGTATGAGTTATGATGAGAGTAATAGCGCCACCTCTAGGACAAAGGAATGCACTGGCATAAAATATCAGATTTCGCTTTAATGGAGCCTAAGCTGCCTTCATTGGTTCTGCTTGGCTGGGGATGTTAGAAGCTGTAATCCAACATTTGTTGGGAAAGACTATGTTAGGATTTTCCCCAAAATATTTTCAAAAGAATTATGTTCATTGCTCAAGTTTGGCGGTTCATGTTTTCAAGTCCAAGTCTTTTGGAACAGCTGGAAATATTTTTTTAATGTATGCATTAAAGATATCTTTAGAAAAATATTCTTAATTAAATCAAGAATGTTTTTTTGTTTACTTTTTCCTTGCCACATATCATTTAGAACTCTTATTTTCATGGTTACTTCCAGCACAGCAGCAAAACCAGATTTAAATAGAATATAAAATTATGAAATGTATCGTATGACAAAATGAATGTGTGTTTCTTGGATATTAGAATTAGAACTTTTAATAACGGACGGTTACAAAAAGCACATACTACAGTATTTTTAGTTCATGTAAGAAACCAGGAAACATATTCTCAAGAAAGAGAGCTGACAATTCAGCAACATCCTGAGACCCAATTCTGTATTTCCTACTCTCATGGTTACTACGGCGGTGTATACTTTGAAAATTATTCCGAAGCACTTCAAATCTCTTATTCATTAAAGCAGCCTTAACTTTTTCAGGCTTCCTCACAAATGAAATGACATAAGTCAGACTGCTTTAACGACTAGCAGAGACTTGCTGAGCTCATGCATTTTCAAAACCCAAATATCCCTAATGATTATACTTTACAGTGCATCTTCAAAAAGGCATCTGATAATAAGTATGAAGCTAGAGGAACAGATATTGACATTCACATCCAAGCCAGTAAATTATAATGCAATCAAGTTCTTACTGAGAATGAAAGCAATTAACAGATCTCTTCTGTTTATTCCTACCCCATGGTTAGCATCCACTGGGTATGGTGAATATATTTGCAGTCACATATGCACACCCTTCTTCACTTTCAGAAGAGATATAAATTGAGAGACAGGATTATTAAGGAATCTTATTCACAGATGTTTTCTTAAACCACAAAAGTACTGCAGTTACTATTATTTAATATTCAAGACGCAAACCTCATTGAACTCAACTGGACTTGCTCCCAGAAAAGTCACTTCAGAATTATGGCTTAAATGCTGTAGTACAGTCATCTTGAGTTTTTTACTCAGATGCTAAATGTTTTCTGCCAAAAATATTTGCCTTTTGAAGAATGAAACCGCCTCGCCTTTCTCCAGCTTTTGGAATTCCTTGTAAAAAACCTGAACAGAAAAAAAAAAGAACAGAAAAGATCACTGTAAATTAGCACAAATCTTACATCAAAAAGGATAATACTGTAACCAAACAAGAGGAGGAATATTGGAGCTTCTGAGGACATTCTATCACCAACCTTAAAGGGGCCATTCCTGAACTAAGGAACCTAACAGAGGGATTCCAGTTTATCAAGGAACACCAGTATAAATGTTAATTAGCTTATCATTGCCAAGATGTTTCTGAAATCATAGACACTGCTTTGTGAAGGATCACTATAAATATTTCATGTACATTACATGTATAGATTAATCTAATTATCACCCTGTAGATTCTATATTATATTCTTCTTTGACATTGACTGATTACACAGAAGTACTGAAAACAGAAGTAGGAGTATCTGCCAGATTCAATTAACACTATATGTACCAGATGCTCACTCCAAGAGACAAACAACGACATTGTTTAATCTCTAAGGTACCAGAAGACTCTGCTTTCACTGCAATTGTTTGAACACAAAGTTCAAGGAATAATACGTGCAAGCTATATTCCAAACTAATATTTTAAGTTACCAAGTAATGTAAATATTTTGTATTGAAGATGGCCTTTAAGATGATGATACAGAACATACTCTGCATACCAAAAAAATAAAATAAAATCCCAGGATCATTCTGTGGGGATGGAAATTAACCCTTGCAGCAACTTGCAGCACCATTGCAGATGTATATGTAATACTGAGCTAAAAGATCCAGTATACAAATTAATATAAAAGAAGATGCTTATCTTCTACCAAGCCTTTTGATAAAGTTTATACAAGCACTTTAAAATAAGTGATCTTGCGCATTTAAAATAAATTATTTTCTGCATAGCAACACTGATTAGCAAACTGGAGAGGTCATGCTGTCTGGTCTAATTTTTGAACTCTTTGCTCTTGATGTATCTATCCCTTTTGTTCTTTAAAAGGAAGGAAAGGTTCTAATAGTTATTCTCCCTTTATAATTTCAACCAGGTGTTTTCCTTACCAATATAACTTGGTATCCCAGTTGATTTAGATGTCTTATCTTCATTGCCAACTTGCCCTTTGGGTGTCCTGAGGGGATACAGAAAGCACTTGCAGGTGGGCACAGCACTGCTATCCTATAAACAAAGACAAGAGAAATGCCTACAATAATAACAGAATTAATTACAGCAGTCTGCAGAATCTTGTAAACATCCATTTACTGAAATAAGGATTAGAATTCCGAAAGTAAATTCCATCTACTTGGCCCACCAGAGCAAGGAAGCAGGGTTGCGGATCCCATCTATGAGGGAAGTACATCTAATGGGACCACAAAAAAGGGCCTTCTCTGTGGTGACTCCCTCCCTATGGAATATCATTCCCCCAGGGATAAGACTGGCCCCCACCTTGATATGTTTCTGGAAGGCCCTGAAGATGTGATTTTGCCAGCAGGCCTGGAGACCCCAGGCTGAGACAGAGCCTATGAAGTGGTTGATTTGATTGTGCTTGTAGCTGCCGTGGGGGTGGGGGTTGATGAGCTTTTTGTATTGTGGATTTTAATTCTGTAAGCCACCCAGAGTCACCTTGTGTGAGTTGGGCTGCTATATACATTTGTTTAATAAATATTTAAAATAAATAAAAACTCTTTGCCTGCTCTACTGTAACCAAAGTTCACTTCTTTTCATGTACCACATGTGTTTCAGTTAAAAATGAGATTTAAATGAGACATACTTTTAAAGAAAAGCATATCACTATTTCTGAGTAAAGAGACTTTGAGCCACTCAAAGTTTAACTGTCAAAAGCTAAAAAGAGTGGGTGGAACAGTGTTTGTCAGGAAATCAATCAGGCTGGTAGAGAAGAAATAGGACAGGGAGAAACAGCCTAACTAAATAGTCAAGATTCCTTTGATCGCCAGCTCAGTATAAACATACTTGCTATGATGGCACATAGGAGATAATGAAAAAGAGATCTAGCTTTTGGGCTGAATGGCCATGGTCTAGTTTTCTGCTGAAATTCAGGACAACAGAAGACTAGATCACGGCCATTCAGCCCAAAAGCTCATCACTGCCATGAAAGCCTACACGAGTACAGTGGTACCTCGGGATACGAACTTAATCCGTTCCGTGACTCTGGGCGTATCCCGAGTTGGTC